GCGAGGAGCCTGCTTCTCCCTCTGACCCTCCCCCCTCTCATGTACTCTCTCTCATTCTCGCTCTCTCAAATAAATAAATAAATCTTAAAAAAAAACCAAAGAGTTAAAGCCTTCTTTGTGGGTTGGATTATTGCTGCCGCTTTTGTTGTGTAATGCTTAAGAACAAAGGGTTTGCTATCCTTATCTTGATAATGTTGGGCTTGTACAGCTTGAGTTTTTTGTTTTTTTTTTTTAAAGTAGACTCTTAAGTCCAATGTGGGGCTTGATCTCACAACCCCATGATCAAGAGTCACATGTTCTACCAACTGAGCCACCAGGTTGCCCCATGAATATTCTAATACACTTTAAAGGTGAGGAAATTGAAGCCCACAGAAATTATGTCACCCGTTCAAGGTCACACAGGTAGCTAATGACAAAAGCAAGACTACACTTGGGTGTTCCAGTCTCCAAGCCTGTCTTTCAAACATTGCACAGCCTCCCTCCTTCCTCTAGGAAAAGAAAGTGTGTTCTTGCTTGTAAAAACACATATAAAGCAATTCATAATCTTCCATTATAACCTCATATTTTCAGTATATGGCTAAAATGACTTGAAATAATCCAATGAGGCTAGTAAATGTTAAGTTACTGCACAAGACTATTTTAAATTATATTTATCCTAATTATAAAAAAATTTTTTTTTTTAACTTTGAAGAAAAACGTGAGTGGAGTCAGCTTTAGACTTGGGGAACTGGTCCTTTGCACTTCAATCCTTTTTAATGAGGACTAGCCCTGGATGTATGGGATGAGTGTCTCTCTTCCACTCCTTCCATTGTTGCCAAAAGTAACAGATATTTGCCACCAGACATTTCAGAAATTGTTTTCACTGTCAATTATTTGTTTTCAAAATAAAGGCAGATTTGTATCTTGACTGTCTTAGATCTTTTTCTCATACTTTTAAAAAAGTAATAGCTTTTGAGATACGATTCATATACCATAAAATTTGCCCTTTTAAAGTGTACACTCGGTGGTTTTTTAATATACTCACAAAGCTTTACAACAACCACCAATACCTAATTTCATCATTACAAAAAACTCATACTAATTACCAATCACTCACCACCATTCTTCTTCCCTCAGCCCCTAGCAGCCACTAACCTACTTTCTGTCCAAATGGATTTGCCTCTTCTGGGCGTTTCATATAAATGGACTGATACAATAGATGGACTTGTGTGTTTGATTTCTTTCACTCAGCATAATGTTCTCAAGGTTCATCCAAGTCATGGCATGTATCAGCACTTTGTTTTTATAGCCAAGTGGTATTCCGCTGTATAGATACGCCATATTTTGTGTATCGATTCAGCAGTTGACAGAGGTAAATATTTTTGCAGATACTCATAATATTAAAAAGAAGAATATGTAGAAATGTGAGCATACCATCAGAAGTGTCTGTCTGTGGAGTGTATCCTTCTGACAGGTTGAAGGTCCCATTGTCAGTCCAGGAGACCTCGGACACGTCCGTGTCAGACACAGACAACTCTTTGGCCGCAACCGTGAGGCTAATCTGTTAACATAGAGAGCAGGGGCACATTGGAAACTTCTGGCAGAAATCTTCTTGAAAACTCCATACGAACCCCCAAACTATCAGAATAATAAAAACCAGGTGAGTAATTCTCCTTTTGAAACTGTTCAATCATCTTAGAGATGAGTCCATTCGGCAAATCATTCAGCTTCAGGGCATGTAAGTAAATTTACAGTCAAATCACACAGCAACAAATGGAAAACCAAACAAAAAATACCTTAGGACAAAGAGCTGAAAGGTCTAATTCACTGTCATCTTTGTGACTTTTTTCTTTATCTGCTTCTGTTGAGAAAAAATTTAGAGGCTTTCAGTGTCCTGGTCAGCTTAGACATAGTGTACTTTATCCATTCTACAGTGATATCCTGACCCCACATTCCTCGTAGTCTCCAGTGCTTCCATTTAATTAAATGTGTGCACTCAACAAGCTTCACATATCTGCAAATGTTTGAGTTCCAAGGGTATGGTCCATATCAGTGATTCTAGTAGGGACTGGCCCAGCAGCAGCACCGCTAATGGGAACTTTTTAGAAATGTAAATTCTCAGGCCTTACCCTACACCAACTAAATCAGAAACTCTGGGGTGGGGCCCAGGACTCTATGCTTTAATAATCCCTCCAGGCGATTCTGATGCTTGCTATAGTTTGAGAACCTATAAGGTGATAGGCCAAGTTAAACAGTGAAAAAACGATCACTTTGGGTTTTCCTCTGTTTTCTTTGCCTCCCCTTGTTCTCTCCATCCCCTCTTATGCGGCTCCCACGCTCGCTCTTAGCCCTAGCGTGGTTTTTTATTTGCAATTGTGCACCCCAAAATAAGACAAATGAAACAAAGGAAATCATAAATAGCAAATATAGAATTATTAAATTCTTTTCTCCTTCCCCTGACAATTTGGATTAAAAAGTGAATTTCTTATGTGTTTGAGAAAAGCATAAAAGCCTAAATAAATAGGCAAAGGCTACATTACTTTGGGGGGATTAGCTTCGATGTGTAAAAAAAGGCTAAAAGCACTTTGAGACATATTCAAAGTGATTTCATAATAAACAGCCAGCTGACATCCCATTCCATGCATGGAATCTAAAACTCAAACTTTACCTACCAGATCTCTTACGTCTCTTCTGATTAATATATTCTCCAATTCCAAAATCTAGCTTCAGCAGAAGTGACTTGATTTTGCTGTATATTTTTTGTCCAATATCATTACACTTAAACAGGGGACACAAAAACGCACACAGCACTGAAACAAAAAGGAAGAGTGCGTCAGTAAGATGACCTTCCTTTCAAAAGGCTACCTCTGAGTATCTCACAAAAACAGTTCAGTCAGTAAGACAAATACAAGTTTTTTTCTTAGAGAAGTGCCTCTGTGAAATAAGTTCATAATTTCTATTCTTCCTCCTGTAATGAAAACATTTTCCCCTATACAACACATGCACACACACACACACACACGCATGCATGCACACACTATGCTTACAGTCACTGTTTTCAAAGACTTGCTATTAAATCAACTTTCTCCCTTTTATTCTTTCACCCTCAACACTAACACAAAGATTACATGCTTTCTTGACAACAGTCCTGGATTAAAATCTGCACTCTTATTTGTTGAATAAGCCATTTCGCTATAGGAAAGTTATTATCTATTAGCCTCTCATCAGTAATATTGGGATAATAATATTATCTCTTGGGGTTTTGTGAAGAATAAATGAAGTGAATGCAAACCATCTGAATAATGCCTGGCCTATATCAGACTATCCCCTGGCTCTCTTCTCCTTTAGTTCCTAAACAAGGCAATCAAGGGCTGATACTCTATATGAGTTCCATCTGAGAGAATGGATTTGCGCTTTGATCATCTGCCATGGATGTTACGCGTTAGGAATACAAAAAGAAATGAAGCCTGACCTAGAGAATGTATTGTATTCCCTAGTGTTTACTTCTTTTTGTTAGAAAATGTGCCCATTTACCTTTTAAATAGGAGTTGCAACCTCAAATATCATTAGAAGCCAAGGAAGCATATGTACATTTTAAAAGCTGGTGTAAGAAAAATGGGGAAATAACCAGGGTTAGTTCAGTGGAGAGTGCCTGTCCCATCTCAAGGTGGCAGCACCAGACCATATTTTTCAGGAGAAGATGGCAATCTATACTTTTTTTTTTTTTTTACAGCATTTTGGAGTTATATTTGACATATAATAAATTGCACATATTTAAAGTATACAATTTGATAAGTTCTGACATATGCATACAACTAAGAAACCATCACCACAATGAAGATAGTGAACATATCCATCACCCCCTAGATTTTTCCCATCTTCCTATTAATCCTTCTCTCTTGCCTTTCCCTGCCCCTACCCACCTCATCCTTAGGCAACCATTTGTGTGCTTTGCTATTAGCTAAAGATGAATTTGAATGATGTATAAATGGAATCACACAGTGTATGTTCTTTTTTACATGGCTTTTCCCATTCAATCTAATTATTTGGAGATTTATCCAGACTGTTGCGTACATCAATTTTTTTCATGCTGAGTAGTGATTGTATGGATATACCCCAGTTTGTTTACCGGTATGTCTATGGATGGACAGACAGACTGTGTTCTGTTTTTGGTTACTACAAATAAAGTTGCTGTGAACATTTGCAGACAAGTCTTTGTGTAGATATATACTTTCATTTCCCTTGGGTAAATACCTAGCTGTGGAATAGCTGGGTCATATATAGTTTTTTTTTTTATTTTATTTTTTAAAGATTTTATTTATTTATTTGAAAGAGAGAGAATGAGAGAGAGAGAGAGCACAT